TGGAGAGCGAGATTTAGGGAATTGAATCTCACATTTGGTAACTTGGAGCAAATAATTAAGAATTTCAAATTTTTGATTGCACATTTCACGGGATCTGATTTGGAGATTGCTTTTCAATTAAGGGGATATATATGAGCGGAAAAATTCAATAGCGGATAAACAGAAAAATAACACCTGGCAAAATAGAGTGTAAAAAAATGACACGTGGCATATAAAGGATGATTTTATTAAGCAGGGAGATTAAATGTGATTATATGTTAATGATAAAAAGTTTTCATGTTTTTTATGTGATTTGATGCAATTAATTGGTAATAAATTGTTTATCTTCCAATTTTAGTTGTTAGACTTTTGTATGATTATATCTGTATAATAAGAAAACTACAATCATAAAAAATTATGTTTAAATCTATTTAGAACATGTCCAAAAATACACAGAAGTAATAAGGAATGCATAAAACACCATAAGAATATGTAGAACAATCCTGAAATGTCTAGAGTTGTTCCAAAATATTGTTTGGAACACTACCATTATATTTGGGAATGGTGTTCATAATACTATTCTAGAATGTTGTCTGGAACACTACGTTTTAGTACGGAACACTACATTTTAGTACAGAACATTCAGTAATGCGCTAACTTAAATTTCCTTCATTCTAGCATGACATAATATATGAAACGGGTGTCACTACAACCTACAAAACTAAACTGGACAGGGAAAGCATGGACCATTCACATACCCCCTAACATACGACCATGTTTAGGGCTTCCTGTTTCGGTGCATATGTTGGCATGTCAATAGGTATAGAATGTCACCCGTTACTAGGTCATTACCTTATGTGCAAGCAAGTTGCTACTTATCATTGGTTCTGAATTGGAGGATATTCTATTCTCGATAGGCAACCATCGGGTTTGCTTTGACACGAGGGTTTTCTGCCTTGTTACCGGGTTGTAGTTTGGGGAATATTTCCGAGCTACTTTATCTTCCACACAATTAAAACATGTTGTGTCTCCATTTTCTTGGGTTTAGAGTCAATAAAAGCTAACATCAATCAAGTATTCAATAATTCACTTCATCGATTATAATATTCAGACAATGTCCAAGTCTTCCCATTGTATATGTTAGAGCAAGGATTTATAGCAGATATCTTCGACAACCAGTACATGATGAATACCTTGCACTGGTCTCTAATTTGGACGAATTTAACATGTATAAAGTTATTTAGATTATATTTATGAAATTATATCAAATGATTCTTTTAATTTATTGTTATAAAATGGAAATGGTGACACATGTACCCGTGGGGAAGAGCAATATGGGATTTTACTTACAGACAGTTGTATGTTGTCTTTGAAAAGACTGAGGCTCTAAACCCCACCCGCTCAAGACTTGATAGTAGACCTTTATATATTATGCATGGATTTTTCTATGATTTTAAGGTATGTCCAATGTCTTTCATAACACTTTTTATGCAAAAAGTATTGTAATATTATTATGCTTTTTTGTTGTTTGACATCTTAATTTCATAGATTTAGATCATAGAGATATTTCCTAACAGTAGGATAGTTGGTACCCCTAAACCGGTTGTAAATGTACGTATCTTAGTTTACCTCCTTATTTATAGCTTCCTTTGAGATATTAAAATATCATTGAGCTTTATTTATTGTTTTTTGCAGCTTCCCTCGAACAAGATGTTGCAGCCTATTCTATAGGAGTGTGCTGCTTTGTGGTGCGTTGAGAGTTAGCCATGGATATAGACTGCAAATTTACCTCCTTGTTGATTTGTGGTATTTGTGTATTTTTGAGACAATCTACTTATGTTGCTATAATGAAAACAAGATTGTGTCACTAAACAATTTTTTTTATTTCATTATAGAATTTCAAATTTTGGTACAAACATGACTAAGGGTACTTTAGATTAAAAATATCATACTCTTGACAACTTTCTGACTTGCTTTTACATTACACATAATGCTAGATTGATCCTTACTTTTGACACTTAACTTAGTCCTACTTGATGATTCAAAGTTTGTTGAATATGTGGGAACTGGACGTCACAATTTCTATTTGTGTGACCGATCAATATTTTGTCCTCCACTTAAATTAGATTTCGTCTTTGAAATCCATCCTTACCTATTACTCCTTAAACACCCTTCGAACCCCTTGAAGGCTTTTTTCGATCCCACTCCATCTGATACTAGCTGACAAGAATACCTTACCAATGTCTAGGGTTAACAACCCCATTGTCTCCACATATAAGTGGAAAGTCTATTTTGGGATAAAGCATCCAACAATCGATATTTCATCCGCTGCAGCACTGGAATGATACCCTAATCAGATGTACACCTTGCTACGTTAAAGTCAATTCAATTCTTAGCGAGAAGCACACAAACTGATCAAGAAACCAACACCAACCCAAAGAACAAACATCAAGGAGAGCAAATTCCTTAATCATGATTTGAAAATTCACAGATTTTGCTTGACCATCCATGTAACATCCCAAAACTTAAGACCAAAATTTTCATTTTTAATTAAGTAATTTATAAAACGGTAGTCTAAAAACATCAATAGTTTCATCCCATATCATAATTTCAAAACCAATATCTCGAATATGAAAACATGTCATAAGGAAACAATACACATCACAAACTGAAAGTTGTACGCACAAAGCTTAGTGTGTTCCCCCATCATACCACATCCTAAACAATACACATACTGCTTAGCATATTCAGGTGCCACTACTAGAAAAAAGGCCTTTTACGACACGCAAATAATGACACGCGCTGATAGTGGACACGCATTTCCGCGTGCCCTAAAAAATAATGTCAGTTTTGCAAATTTTGAAGGATAGAAGACACGCATTTTTTGGGTGCCCTAAAATTAGTGTCCAGCAAAAAGAAATTAAAAACACGGAGGGCACCTATCCTAAAGAGTGTGTCGTGTTACCTTGTCGCTTTATAATTTTAGTCTGAGCGTGCGTTTTCGTTTTTTAATAGCAGGGGGAAATGAAATCGAAAACATTAAAAACCCCGCCTGTTGCTTCTCCTCCTTCCATAGGAACGCTCACCTCGATCAGAATCACCACCATCTCTCTCTCTCTCTCTCTCTCTCTCTCTATCTATCTATCTATCTCTCTCTCTCCTCCTTGGTACATACCACCACTTTGTTGTATATGGAATGTAATAAATCGGGCCAAGAAGAAAAGGAAAGGTCGATTTCTTGGCTGACAAGCCTCCGCACAGTGATTCCTCTCAATCTTCATCCTCTCCATACTATTTCTCCCCATTCTTGCTTTTAATGAATCAAATATCGCCGAAAAATAATGTTAAGATTCAAGAAATCATCCCGAGAAAAAACGGCCCGTTGTGGTTGGTGTCTTGCTCCGCCACCGTTGGCAGCGTCGTCCCTAACTTCTTGATCGCCTGAAGTATCATTTTTAGGTAACCTCTTATCTCCTTCACATACGTATACAAATGGAGTATGTTGTTTACAAACAACGATTCACCTTCTTCTATTCCTAGAGATTTTCTCTCGTTAGCATCACCGGAGTGGCTGGCCCTGGAATCAGTCGGAACTGTAGTTCAATTCCGACGGAGTGTCCCGGTTTATTACATTCCATATACATTTCCTTTCCTTCGATTCTAACCCTAGTTTGTCCCCCCCCCCCCACACACACACACTTTTCCTTCACAAACACACATGGATTATTAGTTTCTTATCTGTTCCTATGGGGTTCACGAAGCGTGCTTTATACATCTCGGGTTTCTGAATTTCGAGTATTATGCACACAAATGTCAGAAGAAATATGGTCAACCGGCTCAAATATGGTCTAAAATCTTCATCGTTGTACGCCACGGCTTCTTCATCGAGAGAAATATCGGCTCCTTCTTCATCATTAATCAGCTATTGATATCTGGTAAGTTTAGAGACCCAACTGCTCAATAACAAACACATGAACATTGTTCTGCTTCTTTTTTCGTTTCTTTTTAATTTTATTTAATTTGATTTATAACTCTTGAATCTATCCCCATTATTCACCCAATTACTTCTAGTTGTCAAAGACATGTTTAACTGCCTAAGTCATCAACGAACAGGGGATGCCCAAACGACTGAACCATGGCCTGTAATTGAAACAAAAACTGGTAATTTTGATAAATTAGAAGTTTTCCAATCCGTGACACACACACACACACACTTATTTCTATTTATTTCCTTCTTTTCTTTTGATTTCACGTACAGGGGCTGTAGTAAACATAATATTTTTTCTTTTTCTTTTTGTCCTTTCTATGTGATTTAAGGTTCTGTTACAATTGCTTCAACAAATGAGAATGGATTCATCAAATAATATGATTCAAAATAAAGAACTTTATTTATCGTGTAATCATATTTTCCATTCCAATGGCATTTCAGGATTTAATGAACCCCTCTTTTTAGTGTAATTCCTTTCTCTGGTGTAGGGACTTTGGATGGGGATTATAGGTTGGGTACACATATCTTGTTCATGTCTCATTTTTTGTAGCAATGTTTCAACGATTAGTGTCTCCTCTTTTAGACGGTCGATCTGTTTGTTTAGTAAATTGACTGTTCGGCCCCTCATGTCTATGCGTGTGTTGATGTTTCTCATCCAACTTGTGTTGGAAACTACTTGGATAGTTTGTGGTCTTAGCAGCAACACCACAATGCGTATCTGTAGAAAACCAAAAACAAAAACAAAATGAATGATAATTGCAAAAGGACCTTATTGCCTCTCATTAAGCCACATATGAAAAAGACCAAACTACCCTTAACAGTAACAAACCTGCATGAGAAGGATGATTACAACCATGAATATAACAACAAAGGAAAGGACATGATTTTGAGACTTGAAAGATGCAAACAGCTTTGGAATGGAATCTCTTAAATTCGAAGTAGTCCCAGTCCCAGAAGAACCGCCACTGCTGACCTGGCGTCTCACTTCCTGGGACACTGGAACAGTCTGAGTCATCATTGTCATGTCCCCATGATGACCTGGCGTTTCACTGGTAGCTGCTGGTGCAGACCCGAATGCCAGGATACATCTATCTTCTTATCTTTTAGATATCAGATGAAAAGTTTAACAACTTTTTCAATATTCAGGATGGAGAATCTTGATGGAGTAGCCTTCATTCTTCATTCTGCACTTGTTTCCAACCTCTATTTCATCTCTCAGGCACCCATATAATTATATTTATATATGAATTATTTTCTTTATCTGTGTTGCTTATATTATTTGCTTGATTGGCAGTTATTACACAGAAAATACAGTGGAAATTTCTTGGTTGATCTATTGGGAAAGTGGAAGGAGTCTGAATACTCTGGACAATCTGTCCCTATTGGTGGCATCGCTTACTATGTCACTGCACCTTCAAGGTAAATGTGATATTACTTATAATTAAGACTAAATTAGAAATATGATCATTGTGCTTGGTCCAAAATTTTAATGTTATCCTTATGTTTGCATTTTGTTGCAGATACCAACCATATAAAATGACTTGAAAATTTGGACTAAACTAGCAATTTTTTTGAGTAAAGCACCAAATGAAATAATAACATTGGGACAATTTGAAGATTTGGAATGAAGTTGTTATTTTGTGTAAAGCATATAATTTATTCGTGTTATTGTTTTTGTTTGTTTTGAATTTTGAGTGGTATAATTAATAAATAATGTGATGTGTTGTTTGATGGATCAGTTTGGCAGATATAGCGGTTGGATCAGTTTGGCAGATATGGCAGCAAACCCATTTCATGCTCTTTTGTACTTGGTGTTCATGCTGACAGCTTATGCTCTATCTCTATTCTCAAAAACTTGGATTGAAGTTTCGGGATCATGTGCTAGAGATGTGGCGAAGCAACTTAAGGTATGGTAATCAATCATTGGGATTTGAGTAAAGAAATGATATGTTTAATCTGATAATATGATATGAATATGAATGTGAATAGGAGCAACAAATAGTCATGTTGCTGAGATATAATTTTGGATCAAACCCAGCAGGTTCTTTTAGCGTAATGCTTCGCTTAGGATTTGGACAACCTATCAAAGTTAATTGGGCATATGTCAATGTACAAAGGGAGGACACATCAGGTATAGGACTTAATACCCTTTTTGGAATAATTTATATACCTATATTCTTTTCTACCTTCTTAATTTCCTCATGACATTATTACTTTCTTCCTTTTCAGGTCATTATAACATATTTGTTGGTGATCTTAGCCCTGAGGTTACTGATGCTATGTTGTATGCACGCTTCTCTGTCTATTCTAATTGTTCGTGAGTACATGTTTCATCTCTCTATACATACATACATATAATTATACATATATCTACATTCATATACACATATATGTACTTTTTTTTGCTTAATTAAAGGGATTTTTATGCATCTCTTCCATAATTGTACCCTTACTAATGTTATTAGAAACAATGTAACTTAAAAATTACAAATTAATTGACAAATTTCATTCTTTTTGCAGGTGTGTCATTTTTTTTTTTTATCTATTTCATGCAAACTGGTGGTGTGAAATACAATACAACTAATGTTTGTCTCACACAACAAACAACAAGTGCATTGCCATCAACACAATTAATATATTTCAAAGTATGGAATGTTTAAATATAATAACCAATATTCATATTTTTCTTTTGTACATTATTTTAAATTTATTATTAATCTCTTATTTTAAAATGGAATAATATAAGTGAGATAAATGGATGCAGGGGAATATTGTGTTGATATTATGTTGTAAATTTGATTTGTTGATGAGATGAGGGAATATTTCTTGTCTTATGGAGTTAGAAGAGGAAAAGAAAGCTCAAGCTAAAAGAGATAAGATGCTGCAAATGCAAGTGTTGCATTCTTCATTTGAATTGTTAGTTGTACTACTAATGATGGAAGCTGCTAAATAAAGGAAATGGAAGAAGCCGCATCAAATAGACTTTTTGTATGAAACACAGAGTAGATTAGATGAATGAAAATTTATATATTGTAAGAAACAGAATTGTATGAAATTAAATTTTATGCAATGGATTGTATTTTTTGCATATGGTATTTTATTTCTATTATGACTCATTAAATGCAAATTTAATTTAAAAATTAATAAATATATAAATATTTTTTTAACATTTAAATTTACGATACGCAAAAATGTGTGTCATATTCGTTTATGACATGGCCTTTCTTGACAGCGGTTTTAATGATACGCATTGCGTGTCATAAATGCGCGTCGTAAATGTGCGTCGTCTCTCGTTATGACAGGGCCTTCCTTGACGCGCATTTGCACGTCGTCTGAGCGTTTTATGACGCGCAATGAGCGTCGTAAAAGGCCTTTTTTCTAGTAGTGTGCTGGCCTACCCCTTCGATTCTTTCAATCGGTAACCGCCTAACATATTAAGGTGATGGCCTACCTCATCGATCTCTTTCAACCGGTAACCGCCTAGCATACCTAGGTGCTGGCCTACCCCTTAGGTCTATTTCAACCAGTTACGGGGACTATTTCACCCCCTACAACTACCATATAACATCCTAGCACGTACACATAAATCACATACTGGCTAGCATATTTGGGTGTTGACCTACCTCTTCGGCCCTTTCGACTGGTTACGCGGACTATTTTACCCCTCCTACAACTATCACATAATATCATAGTGTACTAGCACATAAGGCATAACAGATCGTGACATATCAGAAAATTATCACAAAGACAATCATCTACTAGTGGGCCGATATTGGTACCTTCGACCCACTTCTACAGAAAGGTAACTCACCTCAACTGTGTGTCAAAATTGTACTCCTTAGACGGGTCGGGACTACTCTCCTTAAAACATAACAAGTCCTTTAGTTAGTTATTAGGCCCAAGTACGACTCCCTTATGGCCCCACTTCTAAATCATGTCCTAAGGCAAGGTTCCCTAGTCCTCGCCCTAATGTGCCTTTTCCCCCAAGGCCCAATCCATAACAAATTTAAGGACCAAGTCCATTACTTTAAACTTTAAGGCCCAATAAGGCCCAAGATGCCCAACATCATAAATCCCAGTCCTAGGCCTAGAGGCCTTTCTCCACAGTGGGCCACGAGGCCCAACAATCCAGGCCCAAAAACCTTATTGGACACTCTATATGCATACGCGTGGCGTGTCTGGCATGTACGCCCATCGTATGCTGGCCTTGACCAGTTGCGGAAGTTGACCTAGTATGCGTAGCGTACCAGCGTGTACACCCAGGGTACTGGAAAACTTCCTTAAGACTCCTTTTGTGACTTAATCAATTAAGTCCTAACATCCAAAACATAGATTCATGTCCTTTAAGACATCCTAATCCATAAAGTTACAAACTTAATGTCTTTGCATGCATAGATAGGGGTTAAAACATGAATTAAGTCCTTAAACAAACTTTGTAACCATGAAGCACTTGCATGGTTTTGACTTCACGATCAAGGTCCGATTTTTATGACTCTAAATGCTTCCAAAATTTCAGAAGGAAAACTCTTATCGTCTGGAACTACCAAGACAAAAGAAACCTCAACAATGGAGTCAAAATAACCCATAAAACACCCCAACACTACAGCTAAGCATGCAATGTTCAAGTTTGAAGCTTGATACCTCAAATGAGTCAGAAATGGTGCTAATCCTCTAGATCTACAAGCTCTCTTCAAGTCCTTGTTCCTTTTTCAAACCTCTTTCTCTTCAAAATCACCAAAACAACACCAAAATGCTCAAACTAAGCTCAAAAATACAAACAAGAGGGTAAGGGTTCGAGTTGGGCACTGAGAGGACAAGTGAGGCTAAGAGGATAAGGTTTTTGAAGATTATAAGTTGTTTAAATAGGGTTTAAACACTAAAATTTAGGGTTTTCATCTGGTCACCCTACTCCCAACATACGCTTGGGTACGCCCGACGTACGCATGGGAGTCCCCCGATCCACGCCTCATAGGCGTACCCGTGCGTACAACCTGTACACCCAGCGTACGCTCCGATCCCAAAATCCCATTATTTAACAATTATAACTTGAATAAAAGCAATACAATACCTGATAAATTCTGAACGTTACAAATATGTTGGATTAGGTTTCTAAGACCATAACTATAATTGGTATGTACTTGACTCGAGAGTAGCGTGGTCCATTTGGGTTGCCTTTGTTGAATTAATGTCTAAGTCCATAACTATATTTGATATGTACTTTACCCAACCCGGCATGGTCCATTTGGGTTGCACTTCACCAGTACAATTTATATGGATAATCTTTAGAGAAAAGTATATTTATGATTCTATTAATATATTATAAGTTCTAATATATTAATATGGAATCATACTATTTAACTAGTATTGATCAAGAATTAATTTAGATTTAATTAAGTGATCAAAATGAACTAATTAAATATGGACTCTTATACATATGTGTGTGATAGGCCAAGTTCATTTAGGTTGGGCTAAGTCTTCATGGATAGTCCATGGAGCTTTAACCCATGGATCCTAGGAAATAAAAGGTCATGGGTATTAGGGTTTAACCCTAATCCTCCACACTATATAAAGATATCCTTGGTTGGTGAAATTGGAAATAGTGTGGGTACACTAAAAGGTCTAGCCGATTTGACTAGAGAGAACCAAAGAATTCTTATTCTCAAAGTCTTCCAATGTGTTTTGGTTATTTGTGATTCCACTTAAGGCTTCCACACTATTGGGGCTAAGCTCTTAAAGCTCGAAGACATCAAGCTACATCAAAAGGTATGTCATCTAACTAGTACTTTGTGAGCTTCATAATATGCTAGTTAGGATTAAAGCCTTGGAAAGTTCTTATTTACATGTATGATAGAGAAAACATAGATCCAAGGTTTATAGGGTTGCATGTACACCATATGAGTGTTAGAATGCTCAAAACCCAACAATGGTATCAGATCCTGGTTTGTTTTCTTGTTATACATGCTTAAACTGTTTAAAAATAGAATTTTGGTGTTGTCTGCATAGCAGACTCGCCGAGTCCACTGATGGAATCGCCGAGTTGGTTCGTGTACTCGATGAGTCGGACCCCCACACAGCATATATTCGACTGTTTTAGCTGGAATTGGACTAGGAACATTACCCCAAGCTGTTTTTGGACTGATAAACTTATATATGATGTGGTAATGTTCATACTAATCCAATTTCAAAGATAATTGTCAATAGATTCATGCTTTGTATTAGTTTAAGTGTTATGCTAATTACATGAAAATGTTTGATTTCAATTATCTTGTTCATATGAGTTGCTTAGATTAATAGAAAAAGGTTGATTGATTAGTTGTTTTCAATTCATTTTAATCTAAAAGTTGATTCTAATATGTGTTTGTGTAACTTGCCCTCAAGTTAGATGAAAAGTCACATTTAAGTTTCTTAAAACTCATAAAAATGGTCATAGGTTACAAAATGAAGAGTCTTGTTCTCATTAAATGGTTTTATGACTCCATCACTTGTCCTCAAGTTGTGGAGGTTCAAGAGTCTCTTCATTAAATAAAATATGTGTAACCTTAGTTAAACTCATAAAGTTTCCATAAGTTATAAATTATGAAGAGTCACTTTCTTAATTAGTTTAAAGTCTTCCATAACTTGTCCTCAAGTTATGGTTATGGAACTTCAAGAGTTTTTTTTAATTAAAACTACTTTAAACACATAAGTTATGGAATTGATTAGTTTTGAATATTTTCAAAACTTGCCCTCAAGTTTTGGAATTTGAAAAGTTTTCTCTTATGAATACTTTAATTCTAAGTTTAGCCCTTAGAATTTTAAAAGTTAAAATTCGACCCTTATACTTTATAATATTATAAGTGAATAATATATATATATATATATATATATATATATATATATATATATGTATAAGAGCAAGTCAGTCTTACCATTAGTAGGCCTCATTCACAATGTTGGTCTATAAGGGGGTATAAGGTTACTGCCTATAAAATGGAAGTTTAATGGGTGTCCAGTCTCACCCACCACTTCCTTGACTGGTGGAGGGTCGTTAGCCAAACGGGTAGGACAAAGACTTTAAATTCTCCCTTCGTTAAAAGTATTAATGATAAATACTAAGTAACTAAACCTTTTATAAATACCCAATCTTAGTTGCTTAGGAAAAATGTGAATAAGGTGCTAATCCATGAAATCACACTTTGCACTTTGTTTAAGTCGGTTAGTGGAGCGTGTGTGGTTAACCAACACACTAACTTGTATTTAACAAGGCAGGAAAAGGGTAACTTAATGTTTATCATAGTATCGAGGGAGCATGTGTGGTTAACCGACACATCGATTGAGGGGT